TTTAATAGACATCTAATAGAATGAAAAAGGGCAATGCGGTCGCATTTCTACCTGTTCCAGTTGATTTTTCGCATGAATCCAGTCATGGTCGTGGCAGAACACTATGGCAGCCGCGTAGATACTGTGGTGGCACAGCCGGTCCAAGAGGGTACAATGAGTTCAAGAGCGATACCACTACCTTAACATTTCAGTCAATTGTGTCAATGTTGTCTTGTGGTTTCAATCTCGCCCTGTCTACGGATTTCAACAAACACATAAAGAAACTGACTTCTCCAGGTAGCAGTTCTCCTCTTGCGCACTCTTTTTCCAATTCTTTGGTGAAGAGCGCTTGTAGAAGTCCTAGACAAAAAAGTATCCACCATTAGGATGCTTTTGCTAATAATAGGCATTTTATTGAAAATTAGAACGAAAGTCAGGATTGGTTTAGGTGCTTCAGCATGACTTATGCGATTATAGGCAGAATCCGTATTTACCTAGGTGAGGTGAAGTTAAAAATGAAGTTGGAACTGCGTGGTGAACCCATCGAGGAGGTGGGCGTGTCTACGAAGGGGCTACACTTTACGCCGCTGCGAGGGAGCATGGGGACGAGCTAGACGCAGAAATGAACGGCGTGGTCGAAAAGGATGGCTGGGGACTTAACTTACACGCCCACAATATCTCTCCCAGGTGCTCCAAAAGTTCGAAAGTTAGGCGGCACTACCTGTGCGACTCTGGCGGCGAGTATGTACATACTTTCAGAAAGGCCACTGTTATAACGCCGACCTAGAGATCAGGGACGGTAGCAAACCTTCATTAATTCAGACTTAACGTGTCGAGATTAGCTCAGACCAAAGTCAGTTTAGATAACTGGTTCAGAGCGCTTCTCAACACATTAAGTCTTGTTTAACCTACAGTTAGATCATAACCAAAAAAACCAATTTGACTTGAAGTTAGACAGTTAACTTGTAAACCTAATTCCTAACTAATCAGAGAAAAAAATACTGTGGGGTTGAGGAGACGCAGAGGCCACGTTGATCCTTCACTAAAAAGTACTCCGAAGCACTTTTTACTGGAGGGTCATACGTGTCAGACGTGGTGACTGCGCCTCCTCAATCCCGTGCTCTTTTTTCTTCTCTGACCAGCTCAACCTGTTAGGAATCAAAGAATGCAGCTGCGATCCATAATCTTCAGGTACTTTTGCAACCTTTTTTTTCTTATTTATTCGTTTCCTGATATTTTGTCGTCTGAAATCTAAAGTAGGAAGCTCTTGCTTGATCTGGGCTGGATCGCACTCTCCATTCTTTATTCTTTGCTTAGAATCTCCGATCGTTACTTCTGATTGCGAGTTAAGGGTACTTTGCTACCGTCCCAGTGTTAGCGCCGAAGGCCAGAACAGCTACTTAAAAAACTCATTGACAGTGCAGTGCATGATTAGCATAAGCGTTCTCTTCTTTTGATTGCCAGCCTGGCTTTCTATAACTACCCTATATGTAGCTAGCTGGAGGAGCTTACTTAGGAGTTATCGATTACGATAAAGAAGGCACGCATCGGGGAAGTGTTCCCATGAAGTAGTAGCATGGCCGCCAGAGAAGCGATATGTAGCCCTTTCACGGATGCGCCAATCACTGAGCACCAGGTCAGTCCTATCGTTGTTACTTTTTCAAAAATTTTTACGAGCCCTCCTCCCCAAGGTGTACTTGATACGACCCCCTTGTCGATACGCGCTGAAACGGCGAATTTTTCTCCCATGCGCTCCCAACTCACCTAGCCTACTACTCGTGAAAACTCCACTTTCACCACAAACTCACATGTACTTTCACGCGACTGAAGCGGATACGACCCCCCTCCTATAAACTCAACCAGGTACGACCCCCCCGTTGTTACTAGTACTGATTTGACCCAAAACTTAAGGACGAGATAAGCCCTTTCCGCTCAAAAGCGCTACCACCCATAGCTTTTAGTGGTGAGTTTAACGAGCTGTATTGCCACGGACGCACAACTGGAGAGCAACTCGGCCGGAGCACGGAAAAGCATGGTGCCATTGCAGTAGACTCAACCGTCTCAGCCGTTGCCCGTCCATTAGCGAAAATCAACGGCCAAACAAGGGGACCTCATTTTGCGCTTTTTTGACGGATTTCTCCTTCGGCGAACCACTGAGCACACCCACGCCCCCTCTAAACCCTTCCAGAACCTACAGTAATTGTTGCCTTTAAATGAGTCTATATGTAGAGGTGTATCGATAGCAAACACTAATGGCAATTGGCAGCCGCTTGATTTATTCAGTTCTCCAATTTAGCCCAAATAATAGCAATATCAGTAGCTAACTATTCTACTACTCAAATACCTTCTGAATTGACCGCAAATTTATTAGTTCCATGTGCCTCAAGTATTCCGCGGTTGACGTAAAACGGTGTTCTGCGGAACACGAAGGCAGTGTTTGACGGGTTTTCTGCTGCCTGGAAGAAATCTTGGGTGAGACGATCTTAAGGCATGCGTACTAGTCTTTTTTACCTTTTCTGAGAAGAAATCCGGTAGGGTGAAAGGCTTTTCAATGAATGGTTTGCCATATTCGCTTTGGCGACCCTAGAAAGCTTGCAGATCGATAGTTTCCGATCTCTCGGCTAATATTTGATATTGGAGAACCGATGACTCACAGCAAGAATAGCCGGACATACAAGCTTTCGATAAACCTCGATACCGAAGAAATTTTCGGGCTCGAACCCAAGCTTGATGAGGTGACTCCACACGCCGTCTTGAGCAGCCCTTTAAAAAATTGGCTCATTTTCAGCAATTCATACTTTCTTCAAAGGTCACTTGCCCACACCATAGGCAGGCAACCGAAGGTAGTTTCTATTAAGCCCTTCTCACTCTGCAGTGTACCTAAAGGCAAACCCTGTGATTAAACTGGTGCTATGAGCGCTTCGTGGGAAGAAAAGCAAGAGAAATGTTTGGGAACGCTGATATTAAGCTAAACCTTCAATGAGGTCGGAAGTGGCACGATTGCGAGACAGGGCGATCAAAGCAGACGCTACGCGAGAGAGCACGTCATTTGAGAGAGCATGCTCTCTACATCAAGTCGTGATCTCACGCGTCTCCGCGTGCGGGAAGCGGTGAACTGGGGGTCAACGTTGAGGCGTAAGCGTTAGGCTTATTGCGCAAGCTTTTTGGCCGGTGAAGCTGCGTAGTGATCTATAGTATGATCTTACTTTCCATCTCGTGGTAACATACCTACTACTGCGTGCCTTATACCGTTTGCTTTATAGCGTTCTCTGGCGCTCATATCTGGGGAATATTAGAAGTCCATCTCACAAACCGGCTGGTAGATCTGCGCTAAGATTGAGTCTATGGGAGGGAATATACAGCACTAAGACAGAAAATAACGGTTTTATCCATCCTCGTACTTGAATCCTTTCCCCTCCCTGGCTTAGTTCCGAGTCCTGTGAGTGGCCCACTCACTTCAATGTCCCCCCCCCCACCTGAGAACGTGTACGCCCCTTTTTTGTTCCTGTTTGCCCTAATAACCCTCCTCCAAAGGCAGGCTCCTCATCCAGAAGTAGTTCCTCACAATTCATTCATTCCATTAGCTCATAGTTCGCGTTGACGAGAGATCATGCTTTTGGACGTACGAAAGAAGCCTTTCCTTCTTCGCAGACACGAATTGATACGCAAAATTGCACTCGCCTGATATACAAGCTCTTACTACTTGTGCTGGACCAAGCTCGCAGAACTCTATAGCTGTCCCTACTAGTTTTGCCTGAAGGATCATTCTTAATGCGAAGCATCATACTGTGGTTTATGCTTCAGGTAAATTTTACCGCCGAAAGTATGAAACATATCGATTCTCTGATGCAAGGAGTTTTTTCTTTACAAATAGCTTTGCGAATGCTAACTACTCACAGATCTTGTATTGTAATTGACTAAATGTTTCGATAGTTCGTAAATCAATGGAGTGGCTTGATAGGAGACAGCAGCTTTTGCATAATCGCGCATATTGCGATAAATAGGTCGCAATGTGGGATATATCTGGAAGCATCACTGATAAGTTAACGATTAGAAGAAAAGTGCTCGGGGCTTTGAAAAACCAAATTAATTACACATGCAGCGATGGTTCTTTCTTCTGGAGACTCTCTACAAAAAATCTTTCAGATTCAACTCACATGGTAGAGCATTTCGATGAATGCTTGCTTTGGAAAGGTCTCGACCGTTGTAATTTCGGAGTCTTCTGTGCATTCCTCTGAAAAATTCTAATCATTGTTCGTTTTAAATTAACCAATTAAAGTAGGTATTACTCAATTTGGAATAAACGATGCATTGCTCACTTTCAGAACAGTGAATGTTCATGCTTGTAACATATTGGGTTTCTGAAGTTACCCAAGCTGGAGAAATTCAAGGACAAGGGGCTCCGAAGCCAGAATCCTTGGTTCAAATCCGGATCGAGTCCTGCTTAAGATCACCTACCTTCTTTTCCTACGAGGTCTCTAACTTGTACCAGGGTCTCTGCTTGGATAACAAAGCTGCTCAGGTAATCGAGCGGCTCCAGCAAGTCACACAAATAGATTCAATCTCATTTAAATATTGCATTTATATTATTCCGAATGGAAGAACGAATCACCTCAAAATGGGGATGGTCAAGAACGTGTTCAACTTATTCAACCCAATGTGGTCAAACCTGGCCTGCTCCGTTGTGAGAGCTTGCTCTTTCCCTATCGAAAACGCTCCCCAAAAAGTTTACCGACCGCAGTGACCTTGATGGGGAAACTAGTCCAGGATACGGCTGGTCTGGGTTCCGTCGCATACTTTTTAAACCCTAATTTGTTGACGGGGCACATTCTGCCGCGAGACGCCTCTTACCATCTACAATACTTTTGCCAACCCTTTATATCCTATCCACTACCCATCCTTCTCCTTCAATTTCGATTTTACCGCGAACTCGGTCTTTAACGAAAATTGAGCCCACAAGGCAGGTAAGCCTAAGCCTCAATTCTAGCTTTGAACCACTTCCACCTCTTATGGTTAGTTTCATATACATAGGCATATGAAGACGCTTTCTTTCTCTTCTAGTTTAAAAAAGAAGATATTGGTAAATTTTAAAGCATTTCTTACTTATATAGGTAGAGTATAATGACACAAGCTCTCGGTAGACTTTGATCGACGAGCCATCGCTGAACAAAACCGTCAAGTCACCTTCCTCGAAACGGGGCAATGGCTCGATAACCTGAATAAGGAATTAAAGGAATCCTCCGCGGAAAATTCTTGCATTCTTTCCCAGCATGAATGTATCAGTTGTGATCACTGGAAACAGCACACAAAGTTTCACGCATGATTACGGAAACGGAAAGCGGTTACGGAAAGCGGAGCCAAATCGATCGATAGAATATGATGTAGTCGAAGTGTGAAATGTCAGTGCAATAACTCAAAAGGGTAAAAAGAGTTTCTAATGCTTCATTAGAAACTCTTTTTAACCTAAAAAGGCATCGCAAGAACCAAGTGGAAGCATTCCCGTCGCCAGCATTTGTGAAAGATGTCCGGCGGCACTTTGAACGCGTAGCAGCCCTTCGATTTTTCGAATTTTTTACCAAACAAAAGCAATCTTTCTGTTATGGTGAGTCTCAAGCCAGTGATTCTTGGCTGAAGTAGAATCATGGTTGTACTGTGAGGGATTCGTTCAAGACGCTCTATGCAGTGCCTTAGAAAGACAGGTTCACTCATTTCGCTTTGACATCTTGGATGTTGTTTTCCATATTTACTCTAGGACGACCGTCTTGACATGTTGTTAACAGATTTGAAAACCAAAATAATCAAACACTTCTTGGGGTTTTCTATAAAAAAACGTGGTGTCAAAGAGCAACAGGCCCTTTTGTAATTCGACTGTGAGGTCTGCTCTGTTCTAAGTAGTTGCTAACTTGATTCTTGATTACTTCACGTTCCTTATATAGTCTGAAAGTGCCTCGCTTTATAAGACGCCAAAAGTCGCGTGAAAAGCCCAAATACAGCCTAATAACGTGCGACAAGACAGGTTTTAATCCGGCAAGTAAGCGGCGCAATATGAGAGAAGCAGGCCTTTCCACATGCGTGGGTTTGCTAAGGGTAGTGTCATGGTTTGGATCACCTTCCCAAGCCTCTGTAAGAACCATATCATGCCACATAGAAAGGCCAGTGCCCCTCTCCCTGACCGCTGTGACCGCTGCCATTCCTATTATTTGCAGCATACGTGACATCTGCGTCTTGTATAATGTCTAATTTCGCATTCATCTTAGGCTTCCTTGCACCCGCTTGTTTCATTATCGATGGAACACCATATTATTTTCGATCAGACCCGCTCAGCTATAAAGGACGAAGCTGACCTCCTGAAATTTTCCAAACATTAACACCATTCAGTACAGACCATTAAACTTCACGGCGCCATAGCCACAGTGATGAAAAAAAAGCAAATTTACGTAGTCTGATTACCTGTTGAGAATACGAAGCTCGAACTTCACGGTGGCAATTTCATCGCTCATCAACTCCACTGTTACGGGATCACACTTGGGATAAAATTCGAATACATCCTGCAAATTTAACTTAATAAATATACTAAAATTACAGCCCTCCGCTACGATATAGTCCTCGTGAGTCTGGCAAGTCTGCATAGAATTTTGTTTACAAGGTTGCAAATGCGGACTGTAGCTACTAAAAAAACAGTAGGCACGCTGAGCGTGTGAACGAAATCTCTGAAGTGATTGAGTGCTCTCTTCTCTTCATAAAAGCACCGATGAGGAGCTTACGGTGCACTCAAAGAGCCGATCACATGTGTGCCATGTCCAGCTGTGAGGTAAAAATGCTTTTACTGTACGAGTACATTGGTTTCTAGCTTCTTACGAAGCATAGCCTACCTTGTCCACTACCTTCGAGATTGTTGAGTTCGCAGGGCCAGTCTTTATTCGCATTTGGGCGTTTAGACGCCATTCATAGTCAGGCGATGTCTCACAAGATAGAGATACTGTCCGCACTCCTCCCTATAATTTTCAACGATGTAACAATATCTAATGCTTGAAAGGAAATGAAACTGGTAGTGAGAACCGAATCTATCCTTGAGTGGGAGATCGTCCAGAAAAGCACCATGAGGGAAAAGGCTTCGGTGTGGGTATCGGCGCACAGAGTTCAATCAATGCCGGTTTTCTGTCAGTGACGAAGAAGGATAGCGTTTAGCTCTAAGCACGGTCTTCCACCTTGCTCTTTTCCTGTCATTTGTCCTACAGATTTGCTTTGGCGCATTCGCGCCAACATGCTTCTAAGATTGAGAGACAAAACCTTCTCCAAGCAATCCGGACCAGCGTCAGCCGTCATGTTCGCACTCTTTCGAAAATTTGCGACCCCTTTTTGGGAAGTCCCGATGCGACTCCTAACCACCACCATCAGTCCTAGAAGGCTCCCCCAATACGATTCCACTTCTCCTCTTCTGTGACCCCCACCCTTATCACCGCGGCCGTCCCTATAGTTTTTGATTCGTAGACCAGAAGACAGAGCCCACACCTTTCACCAAATTCATCAAAAAACCCGTCCGCTCCCTTCCCACTATGCTAACCACGCTCAACCCAATGAGACCTCCCTCCCCGTTCCCGAAATCTTGAATGCGACCACTCGATCGAATAGTGCCAGCGGACGGTTGACCCTGTTCCGGACACCCTCATAAAAAGACAAAATGTGAAAACCATAGCTCGGATTTACTGTGATGGCAGAGAGCTCCACTTCTACCCTATTTCTCTGGTCTTTCTTTGTTTTTGTTCCTTTGACTGTACCAATTGTTTTGCATCATCTGCCTGAGAGCTTCAGCAGATACATTTTACAGGAATTGTTATGCTGTCTCTGTAAAAAGTAGCCAAAAAAAGGGAAACGACATGCTTCAGCTACTCAAACAGAAACCGCCTGCGTCACTTTCTCACTTTGTATATTACCTGAATGCGCTAGTATAATAACAAGTTTACAGTTCCCGTTGGTCAAGAGCCGTTGCCTGCCTTTGTTCTCTTATGTTAAAATGATATTTTGACTTGTTTATGGGTGCTATCACAAGAAATGGGCGGCTCCTAGAAGCATAGGAGAAGGCAGGAAAATCGGAGAAAATGAAGATTGCTCACGCACGCTGGATCCTATCC